AGCTCATGGCGCGAGAAACAACTGGCCCAACTCCGAGCACATTTGGATTGTTTGGTACAGCACGGTGTCACGTTCAAAGCACAAAAGTGTCTCCGGTGCCCCCAACATTGATTTCCTCGGTCACCGCAACACAGTCACTAGTATTGAGTTACTAAGTGGCGACATTCGCGCGGTAATAGACTACCCGGAGCCCACCACGTTTAAGTAGCTTCGACGTTTCGACGGTTTAGTCAATTTTTATCGTCGTTCCATCCCTCAGTTTGCACAACTGATGCAGCCACCATTGATCTACTTAGGGGTAAGGCTCGAGACACCTTCAATGCGTTGAAACGAGCAATCAGCAAGGTTGCAACATTAACTCACCTAGACCCCTCCGCCAAACTAGCCTTCGTCCCCGATGCGTCCAACCACGCTGTTGGCGCCGTCCTCCAACAACAAGTGAGACAGGAATGGCACCCAATAGCTTTTTCCCCAAGAAGCTGCAACCGGCCGAATCAAGGTACACTGCCTTCGGTCGAGAACTCCGGGCGATCTACATTGATATCCGGCCTTTTCACCATCTCCTCTTCTTCTGGGTAACCCCTGCCCAGAAGCCATAGAATTACAGGACACAGCCACAGCGCAAGCCTGTAACACTGATATTGAGCGACTGCGCAAGAAATCCACGCTCTGCATCGAATATCTTCCACTTCCGTCCTCAGACAACAAAGTCTATTTCGACGTCTCCCTAGGTCACCCTAGGCCAGTAATCCCATCGACCTTATACAAACAGGTTTTCGGGACTCTGCATAATTTGTCACACCCAGGCATCCGTGCCTCAGTGAAACTCACCACTGACTGTTTCGTGTGGCACAAAATCAAAAAGGACATCCGCCAATGGACAGGCCAGTGCTTGTCCTGCCAAATAAAAATAAAATCACTGCGCTACACCAGGCGTGTACCATTTTCATCTGAATGATTTTGGATTTATTGTGGATTACCGATTTATCTCGTGGAATACCCGACAATATATGTTCCAATGTAGAAACAAATGGCTGTCATCCGTCAACGTATCATTGGTCCCCGTACCAAGAGTTTCCAATGTGACGGATGTAACGGCTAAACACACATTGTTTGTGCCAACATTAACCAGGAGGATTACAAGCTTTTAAAATCTTGGAAGTCCAAGTCTGTGAAAATTGTGTGCTCCAATTGTTCCGTAAACCTACGTCTGGACGCCCATACCCCGAAGACGAACGAATCTATGTTGGAGATGGATGTGACCGTGATTCATCGACAAATCAGGAGTCCCCCTTCACCACCGGCGGTAACATCAACGCCGTCAACCACAAATGGCAGAAGGTGAAGAGATCGTCAGACCGCTCCAACAATGTCTCTTAATCCTCCCTGTGGCAAACCCAATACAACAAACGAGGCGCCAGTTTCATTGACGGTTCCGGCCACACAAACCCAATTCTTAACAGTACACGGATTCAGCTTCAATGCTGGATTTGTGGAACATAATTATACTGGTACATACTCTAGAAGCTATGTGACCAAATCATCCGCAATTCCTTTCACTAGACTGCCTTTTCCGCACTCCGTGGCACAGTCACCAGGTAGCTGTGTTCACTTTCTAAATCCAATTCTTAACAGTACACGGATTCAGCTTCAATCCTGGATTTGAGATTATAATAAACTGTGGTACATACTCTAGAAGCTATGTGACCGTTTTCTTTATTAGTCGAAAAATAATAAACTGTGGTACATACTCTAGAAGCTATGTGACCGTTTCTTTAATACTCG